CTCTCTGTGGATTAGGTGAGGGTTTTCCGATTTTTTTTTTTTTTTTGGTCTTTTATGGTCAATTTTGTCTTTTTTTTTTTTTTTTTTCCATTTTCCCAAGGATGGAAAGGTCAGAGAAAAATAAAATAAATCATCTTTCAATAGTCTTTTCTGGTATGAGCAGCGTCTTTCTGGGCTGGGGAGTAAAGGGCATGGGGAGAGGGGACTGGGGAGAGGCTGAAACCTTCCCCCAGACCCCACTTTTAGATCCTTTGGTTTCCTTCTCCCAGAATATGGCAGAAGGGCATGGTGGGGACAGCAGGGAGAGAACGTGGTGACGACAAACCCCAGATGACCAAGGGGCTGGTGCTCCTGGGCCTAGGAGCACTGCTGGAGCCTCCCATGGGACAGTGCTAGACAATGGGGCCCGCAGGGCCTTCTTGTGGGCTGCATAGTTGGCTTGAGGGGAAGCAGGAGGAGGCCATAGGTGGGGATCAGGGTTGCGGCCTACCAGCCGCGGGCAGGGCTGCCGAGTGATTTTGGTAATCCAGACAAACTATCAATAATTTAAAACTTGATATATATATATGTATATATATATATATATATATAAAAAAAAAATTCCCCCCTTACCCTCCCCCCTGAGAAGAAGCTAGGATATGAAGAGTCATGGAGAGACGAAGGGGAAGCGGATACGTGGAGGATCCTGGCCAGGGGTACCTCTCATAGCCCAAATGGTGTACACACATTGCTACTCAGCACAAAGGCCTGTCCTAACAACTCCAGGCCTGTCCCTTTTCTGTCCCCTCTCCTGGGACTAGGCACCCCCATGGATTCTTGCCCACCCCACCCCTTTCCCCCCTCAAACCCCAGGGCTAAGGGGCTTTTCACTTTCCCAAAGTCTGTGTGTCCGAGTGCTGGCTTGTCCATTTGGCATCTTCCCGGATGGGCTGACCAGTGGGTGGTGTAGGGGGTTGGCTGATCATGGTGGCAGGCCTGCTGGAAGACTGGGAGGGGCACCGCTTCCTGCCCTCACCGCCACCACCTCCTGTCATCACTGAGTGTCGCTTGTGGTTGCCCTCCTCACCCATGGGGGGCTGCAAGAGAAGAGGGAGTCACAGGTGACTGAGGGTACAATCCACAGCCCCTTCCCTGCCAGGCCTATCTAGACACCACCTACTTTCTACCTCCAAATGCAGACAATGAATGGGTTTAACCTTAAAAATGAATTACCAGTTATTAAGCATTTCTCCATGCCAAGCACTATGCTCTTTTATGCACATTCTCTCATGGAGTCCATACCACCCCCATTTGGTGTGGGCATATCATCCAATTTCACCAATGAGGAAGCTAAAAGCACAGAAAAATAATTTGCCCAGGGTCTCACAGTCTCACAGGTAATTGGTAAAGACAAAACTTAGGTCCAGCTTCCCCAAAAAGGCCAGGCTTTTATTCATACAAGTTTCTGCTCCCCTTCTGAGAAGGGATCTCTTGCTCAGGAATGCAAAATGTAGTATGCAGTATGCTGAGATGTCTCAGCTCAGAAGGCCCAAATGTTCCCGGGATCATCTCATTCTTCCCAAGGCCCCAACAGTACAATGAACGTAAGATTCAAACTACGATCCAGTTTGGCCCTACCACTACCAAAGGTCTTGTAATGCCAAAGACATTTCTTTCCATTTTTGGGAACCAAAGCTGAGCCCTTTCTTGTTCCATCTTAACAGATCCACAAGGGTTCTCTGAAATTGTACCCTCCCTCCTCCCCAAAGGCAGAAGTGCCTAAAGATGAAAGAAAACAGAATTTGTCTTTATACTGGGAGACCTGAGCAGCTCTGCCACTATCTCTCATTGGGTGGCCATAAGCCTCAGTTTACACATCTATATAATGATGATAATGACAAGCCCTGCCTATTTCACCATATAAGGGTTAGATAAGGTCTATGTAAGGTGCCTGGCACATAATAAACACTCAATAAATGGCAGTTTTTAAATAATAAATGCAAGGACTATTATTGCCATTTACTCGTATATGCCTTCTAGCTAAAAGGTTTGAAGGCAATAAGATGACTAGCAGAGATCTCTACTACATTATAAACTCTTTCCCTCATCTCTGGAGTCCCTGAAGCACCTAGCACAGGGATATCCAATCAGTATCTGCTGAATCAATTAAATTATTCCAACCACCACTTCCCCTGATACACCCAGTAGCAATAACCCAAACCCACCACTGGATGTCACTGTTGAGGCATTGTTCCACAAAGTCAGTAGATTGGAGACCTGGCCATTAATTTATAAATGGAGGGTTGGAACTGGCCTTTTCCAGAAAAAACAAATACATTTATCTTGGATACCTATCCTGATCAAATAGTAGTGGCTAACTGGGGCACAGCAGAAAGGAGGGTTGTGAGATAAGGGGAAGAGCATTATGGTGGTTTGGCAATGTCTGTCATAAGAAGGGGAGACAGGAGCAACCATACAACTACCTCCTTCCATTAGCCTTCACTGCCATTCTTACCCTCCATATCTCAGAGATAAAGAAACTAAGGCCCAAACTGTGAGGGGGCATGGAGAAGAATCCCTTGGCTAGTGGGATAACTGGGACCAGAATCCAGGTATCCTGATTCCTATTCCAGTTTTCTTTCCCGGACAACCAGGATTAGAGAGACTCACTTACATCTACTCGGAAGTCTTCAAGACGTCGGAATTTGCCGAGGTATTCTTGCAGTTTGGGGTCAATGTCCAAATTTTTGGCTTTGGAATATTTCAAGAAGGCCCAGAACTTCTCTAGCCCATAGAGCTGACCTGTAGGGTAAAAGGAGAGAGAGATAGAGAGACGCCAGGCTGGTGAGAAGATGAGGATAAAGAGGCTCAGAGGAGAGGGGCTGTGGTAATGATATACAGAAGGACCCGGATCAAACTGGGGAGACAGGAAGGCCTAGATGACCAGGTCTCGTGGAAGCCAACGTTGGCTCTTACCAGCTTCGTAGTCCTTCACGGTTTCCTCCTGAAAATCCTTGAATATATCTACCCGGAACTTCTTTTCCAGGCCATAACTGTAGTATCGAAAAAGGCACTCCAAACCGTATCTGTAGGAGAACACAAGCCAGAAATCAGAGCACAGTTTCTTCATGTGTATGCATGTGCCTCCACAATAGAAGAACTATGAAAACAGTTTAAAACAACACATTACTCCCATATTGAAAAAATGGCAAATACACTTTAAGAAAGCTAACATTTAATGCTAGTCTAAATGGGTCCAGCATTAAATGTTCATAGTTTGCCAAGACTCAGCAAACTATGCCCCCTGCCCACACCCATCTACTCCTATTCATTTACATAGTGTCTACAGCTGCTTTCTGCTACATGCGCAGAGTTGAGTAGTTGCGACAGAGACCTTGAAGCCCATAAAGCCTAAAATATTTACTGTCTGTCCCTTTACAGAAAAAGTTTGCCAATTCCTGGTATAAGCTCTTTAAAAAGCCATTTGACCATGCCAATTAGTAGGTTTGTTCATTTTTCTGACTTAGCAATTTTACTTCTAGGAACATATGCCAAGAAAATAGCCAAAAATGCAGATTTAGATCTTACAGATGTACAAAACTGTTTATAGCAGCATTATTAAGCAAAATATAAATGTCTAAGAATAGAGAAGCAGTTAAGAAAAATCATGGTCAATCCATACAATTGAATAGTATAAGCTGTGTAAAAACATAATGTAATGTACATCTAGGGATACTGAAAGATGCTTATGACATTATGAGGTGGGAAAAAGATGTCTGAAAGTGTTATATGTAGAATAATCCCATTTTTGTAAACAAATATATAAATTTTACAACTACTCATGCATGCAAGGTCTGGAAGGACGCAAACTTAAAGGGCATTCATGGGACAATCTAAACACATTAAATATGTCAAGAAGAGACTGGGAAGCTTGATGACAGAACATCAACACCTGCTGTCTCTGAAGGAAGTTTTCTCTAGCTTCTTCAAGTATTTCTGGACTTTTCGAATTGCTCACAGAGAGCACACTTTACTTTGAAAACTGGAGGGTGGGAAGGACTCTTAAAAAGGTTTTTTGAATAGCAAAATATTGGTAATAACCTAAGTATCTATTAATAGGAGACTGGCTAAATAAATCAAGATACATCCATATAGTGTATGACCATGTTATAGGCTATAAAAAAGAACAAGAAAAACATTCATACATGGATATGGAATGATTTCCAACATATAGCATTGAGTTAAAAAAAAAAAAAAAGGAGGGTACAAAAGAATTTATAATATAGGCCATCTTTAGCATAAACAAAAAGAGTGGTAAAGAAGTGGGAGAATACACAGACTTGTACGCACTCACACAGATATATCAAGTATTTTAACACATTGACTGCCACATTAAAAAAACATATTTTTTTTCCTTGGGGTCAATGGTGTTTTATTACGAAAACAAAATAAAAACTTCAAAAACAAAATGATCCTTTTTGATTTAATGAAAAAT